TGAATGGGGGTGTGGGTTTCCTGTTTCCGTTGGTAGGGAGGGATGGGATGCTGTGGCAATGAGGGGGCGYGGCCCMACGACAGCTGTTTCGGAAGGACGGTTTGCGACGCTTTCGCGGCGGCTTACCTGTGGGCGCTGGTGCCCTGTTGAAACAAGCGGTGAAAACTGCTGATTTTGGCGCTGGTGCCTGTCGAACGGTGATCGAAGACAATCAGTGGGCGCTGTTGCTTGTTGAGAAGCGGTGAAAACTGCTGTTTTTGTGGCGATGTTGCCTGTCGGTTGGTTTGGGTTCTTGGGCTGTTCTGGGTGTGAACTGAACGTTGACTGTACTGACTGACTACTGACTGACTGACTCTCTGGATGATAATGATCACTACTGCTGACTGACTGGTTGACGATCGGTCGAATGCACCCGTATATATACACATCGACCGACTCTAACGTTGTTGTGATTAGTGGGCGTATCGGTTTTTGGCAAGTGAAAATGACATCGTCCTCTGGGTTGCCAGGTATCCTTGATGTCGTTTTCGCTCAGAATTTTGATCGTGTTTATGTTGTGTAGCAGTTTCAATCACTTTACGTTTATCTAAACCTGAGAACATTATTGCTGAACATTTATTATTCGTACAACTCCATCTTAAAAGATTAATCTTTTTTTCGCTCTCCAATTAATTTATATTTGTAAAAATTCACTAAGGCCAATTCTTTGCCTCTTTCTGATAAAATAATTGTTATATCACTTATATCCATATCAAAAAAATAGAAACTATAAAAGCACTTACACGAAACGAACTATACACGACTATAGGTGATCGAACRCTGATATTATTTCTTTAATAATTTTGGAATTGTATCTTAATTATCTTATATTTGCCCCCGATGCTAAATGTCTAAAACGTCGTTTTGCTCTGGAACTAATTTATTAATCGATAACATTGTCGATAAAGCCGAGGAGCTCGGCTCACGGTTCGCGTCAGATATCATAATTCATAATAATTGGTGTAATAAGAAGTGAAAATAATAAATTTCAAAATGTTGGCAAAGTAAATATGGCAACATCGCATAAAATAGTCTATGCTCAATCGTGCTTTACCGTGGTACCTCATATCGTGAACACACAGTATATGTGAGCAAAACTTTGTCACCGCATATGACAAGAATACCTACTTATCGACCTAACCTTTTTTTGGTTAACCACTATTTGTGTAGAATATATAGAATATATATAATGTATATATCAAATATTTCATCATCTTATATTTCATTTACCTATATAGTTAGTTACCAGTTAACATTAAGAAACTTTTTTTTCCGGAGTTCTATACCTATAATATTATAAATTATAATATTGATATTTGATATGATTTGAACACCGATTAGGTTATGTTAGGTGTATCGATTAAACGTAACGTAGGTAAAAGCGTTTATAGTTTTATATTTAACTGTGCAACGTAAGCAACGCTAGTATCTACTGCCTATACAGTATTTTGTGACGTTTTGTTGTGCATACTATCGTGCGTGGCGTAGATGATGAGACGTGATTATTCTTTATGTATTACATGTGTCATGTGTCATGTGTCGTATGAGTGTAACTAGTATAGGAATATATATAATTATTTATATACCTAATGGTTCTAATGGGTACCTATGTAGATATATGTACGGTCCGTTGTTATAATTATCTCGTTAGGTATTTAAATAAAGAATAATATCCAAATATTTTATAATACAATATATTAGTATAAATATTACAATAGGTAGGTAGGTGTTTTTAATAGTGATATAAAAACAAATTTATTATAAAGATTTGCTTATTAATATTATAAATAAAAATAAATAGGTAGGTAGGAAGGTGATGTAATACTGTACTCTATAATTTATTCTAGGTATATTAGATATATTGTTGGTATATAACACTTTTTGTGTTTAATGAAGGATTAATAGGTGTAAGGTGTTTGCTTACAATTTGAAATTGTAAAAAAAAAAAAAATAATATTTAATGCAATATATTTTATTAAGTATTGCACCTATAAATTTAATGTATCTACAGTATTTTTTTTTTTWAAAAGTCATAAATGTCATATCTCTTCCTGCCACTGAAAAGATGTACTTACCTACTTATTAACGATATTGGATATTATCTAGTTAGTAATGTGTTTTGTTCTAGGTCAGTGGTGTAGCCAGAAATCTCCCAAGGGGCCCACCAAAAGCTGAAAAGCATACATTTTAGTATATTATATTTAATATTTAATTAAAAAGTCATAATATAAGTACGTATATTAAAGAATGTACAATCAAACAAGTACTGTCCATTATTTTGACCAGTCTTATTGTAGTTGCATTCTTCTGGCAGACGTATTTTCCGGACGCTTCTAGAGAAACAGCCTAGTCTAGACACGATAACGCATTATCGATTTTATCTTTTGTTCTTTTGTTCTTTATATTTTACTTGAAATCGCAAAACACTGCGTATTTACAACTTAYTATTTTTATCTTGGTTTTTTTGCAAACCATTATTTAATTATTATATAGTATGATACGAGTACTGAGTAGTATTGTGTTATACTATTACTATTCTATATACTACACGGACCAAAGGGGGGGGGCCCTTTGGAACCCTCCCTAAATACGCCACTGTTCTAGGTATATAACCAATGAGATTTTGTATTTGTACCCTGTAGATAGGTTACTCAAACGGCTATGTGGCTATGCACCTAAGGGTATAAAAATGTATAATGGTACTATTATGTGACAATGTGGGCAATGTGGCTTATATTAAAAAACAACTGAAAATAAATATTAAACCGTTTATATTTGGTAGGAATTTTCATTGATTAAAATAACTTTCTTTATACCAACTTATCGAATGGGTGGGTACCTAGGCAGTGATAATTTTCAAAAAATTCTACACATCAAAGTATTATCAGTATTATGTATATAAAATATAAATATAATATTATAAACCAATGTGAATAAAAAGGTACAAAATATGGCCTAATAAGGACACTACACTCGCATGTGCCGTCTTCGTTTTACAAGTGCGTAACACTGCAAATTWTACGTTCAGCAAATCACGTTTAGCTCCGTTAGTTTAAAATTTAGAGTGAATTGATCTCTTATAAAAATTAAAGGTAACATTGGTCATTAATACGAGGGCTTCTCATAGGCTATTTATTATATTTTAATTTTTAAGCGARWTATGTGTATTTTAAAATTGTAAATTGTATAATATCTTAAAATAGGTAGGTACCTACTCATAACTCGTTTTAAAATTACAATATAACAAAAAGGCTATGATCAGCACTCGAAAATAATGTTACCTTTAATTTTTATAAGAGGTCAATTCACTCAAAATTTTAAGCTAACGGAGCTAAAATTGATCTGCTGAGCGTAAAATTTGCTATATTAGTATATTACGCGCTTGTAAGACAGAGACAACATATGCGGTGTAGCGTCCTCTTATGGGTGAGCCGTAAGTTTACACTGTACAATAATCAATGTTTTGCAATCTGTATGTAAACACATAATAATATATGGTATCATTATTCATTAGCGAGTTGTTGTGGGCGGTAGAAATTTCGTTATCAACACGATATGCCTTATCAATCTTTCTGTATCCTCGTAATATTATTTTCACTTTTCACTAATTTAGTTAGTGATGCTTTAATTCTAATACGCGATAGTCTAATACTGTATTACCGTGTCCATACTTGTATCTTATTATTAACTATAAAGTATCTTTTACAATAATAAGTAGTACCTATTATTATGATCATTCATCAGAATCATTAATGTCGTCGTGCGTACAATGTTTCAGTAAACATTTTTAGTTTGCCTATTTTGTTCAAACGTTATTTGAGTATTAACTAAAATTGTGCACAAGACTAGATATAGTATATCAGGATTTTTACGCGACACACACTTACTCAAACCAAAGGTAACTCAATATTATAGTATATTATACCAAATCGTTTGTTATCTGTATTGTGTATTCAATGTGAATTGTTTTTCAAAGAATTTGTTCCGTTACATATTATATATATATATTGTAACATACATTTGGAATCACTCTGTATATTATAATATTATTTAATAAGTGTGTACTATGCGTTGGTCATTAAATATTTAACAGCTGGTTAGGTACAGGGTACCTACAGAGAACAATATTTTTAATTTTTTTATGCAACCTACAATTATTATGTTCAAAATAAATATGTAAGTAGGTACTTCTACCTTTATATACTGGTGACATATTTTAGAACCGTGCACAGTTTCATTTAGATATCATCTTATTTATAAAATAATTATTTGAATCTTTCGCATAAATAACATCTCATTGTTTAGAGATTACCTATAAGTATATTGTGCATCAATGTTTAATTGTTTATTTGTTATTAGTTAGTACCTACCTAGATAATATGAAAATAATAGAATTTTATTTATTACAATTTGATCTGTATATTAGGTATATAAAAGAAAAAATTCTGACTGATTCATAATCAACTTACGTGGTACAATCAAAACTACTATACTTCAATACTTAAAATTTTTATGATACCTACTATGATGGAGACCACTTAGTAGTGGTCTTTGAGAGCATATTATACTMATAAAGCATTTAAAAAAATTTGCATTTTATAAGTGGCTCACATTTGTTGGCTTACTGAAAACAAATATTTTTTTTTGTTTATGTAAGGTTGATTTTAGTTTCAGAAAATAAAGTAGTTTTTATGATTGAATATACAATTTTAGATCTTTATTTAATATTTTATAAAAACCACCCAAATTTATATGTTAAAAATGATTGTATTCACATTCAACAGAGTTTAACAGGGGCTAAATCTATGAGCATTTAAAATTTCATAGATAACATAGTATAGGAGGATTGTTCTTTATAAAATTAAAGCTCTATTTTAATATTTTATTATAAAACATGTCTTTTTATGTGGTTTTAAAGACGAGAAAATTCTGATGGCATTACTTCTCATACATACAAATTATAAATAGATGTGTTACTTCCAATTTTTTAATAATTACTCTCTAGAAATACCAATGTTATTTGCAATTTAAGTAGATTGGTTTGTAGTTTTATTGCCAAGTACTTACATAGGTTCTACGATTATATCAGAAATACATAACTTATCATTTGACCACATGAATTGTTTAGTTTATGGTTTATCATTTCATCTGATATACCTAAAATTTAATTAAGAATGTTATTATTAATTTTATTTCATTAAAATGAAAATTATTATACTTTATTACATCAGGTGTTTAAATTAAGTACCTACCTACCAAGTTTATATTTTAACAAACCCRATAACTTCTACACCTATAAAATTGAATTGTAATCAAACATAATCAATTTTTGTTTGTTTTAGTTTTTTGCCTAGTTTTTAGACATGGCGTTCCGTAGACAAAGTACATCTGGGTCTAAGCCACAGCTTAAAGAAAAARTTGTACAAATTTATGAGTCATTTTTTAAGGTAAATAAAACATAATATTTTTTCCGTAATCTTTAATATCTATGTTATTAGTATTGACTCAAATCAATAAAATATAAAATTGATATGTGTATTGATATTATATTTTACATTCTGAACAGAATAGAAAATTTTTGGTTTTACAATTAGTATTTTTTTATTTTATCTCATAAATTGGACATAATCTTTGTATAAGCGTTCAGATCTACCTTTAAATGGAAAATATAGATCGACGCGTCTTATTTGCAAAGTATTTCATGTATAGTTATGCCTTACATTTCAATAATATTTCAAAAACTGGAATACCAGTAAATTTTCTGTAAAATAAAAGTTTAAAAATTGTAACGAAAATTATTTAATTTAATGGTTAGATTATAATATATAATCTGCTTGTAAATAAATCAKAAGATTTAATAATAACTTAATAATTAATGACTAGCGAGATGACTATAGTAATATTATCAATTAATTAATTAATAACTATATAGAAAAAGGTTTGCTTAAACATATCTCTTCAAAGTGATAATTTTCAAATTTAAAAGTCAATGATCCCTCGAGCGTTAACACAATAAAATTACTAATTTAACCTGTAATAATTTGTATATAATAAAATATTATTATCCAGTTCTTTTAATTTTTAAAATTTTTGAATCGATTTGTTTCCTTGTTATTTTCTGTAAGTACCTAGTTTCTTGAACATCAGTGATACTTATTGCATTATAATATTATTACTAATTGTGTGTATTTATTTATTTATTTTTATATAATATATATATATATATTCACAGGGCGAAGATGTCTCAAAAGACAATGACCATTTCTGGGATGAATTTTTCTTATTAAAACCTAAAGTAAGAATTAACTTCCTCCTTGACTTACTTCTTCAGTATCTTCAGTTTCAATTTTAATAAACTTACATGTTTAATACTTTAGATATCGTATATTGAGACAGAAATAGAAAAATTAAGTATTGAACAATTGGTTACACTTCAAGATAATTTTAGACTTTTATTTACCAAATGTATCACAACATTTGAATGCCAACATCAATTGCGTATTATATTCTCATTAAAGGTAATKTTAATATTTAATATTATAGTACAAAATTCAATATTTGCTGAGCATTATTTTGACCAATCCGGATTACGAATTACAATTATTTAATCTAAATTTCGGATCAATCTGTTGATTTGGATTTTGGATTAGATCCATTGATTCAGATTTAGGATCCAATTCGGCTTCATTGTTTTTGAGATAATCAGCTATTTTTCCATTGTTATCAACCTAAATAATATGAATATACGATAGCAGATCTATTGACAATCGACTAAATGTTATGAGACACCAAATAGCAAATATTTTATACCATAGTTAATATTGTTAATAATTGTTTTCAAACGCTTTATAATCCGGATTAAACAGATGGTAATTTTTGTTTCAATCTGGATCAATTCGGATCGCTAATCCGGATATGGATTGATCCAGATTTGGTGCTCAGCACTATTTAATACTATTGGTTTAGTAGTTTTGTAATGCTTTTTAATGTTAATACAAATTGTAGCAAACTTATATTGGAATAAGTTTATTATACTTAAATTACTAAACAATATTATATTATGCTAATATTATTGCGATAGTGTTATTCTTATAATATAAATATAATAATATAGTATTATATCTACAAATTTTATTAAATAATCAYTGTTTTACAGAAATATTAAATATTTGTTAATACTATTAATTTTGTAATTATCTGYGTCAAAAAAACATTTATCAAGTAACTCATTACTTGTGAATCTTTTAATTTAGCATTACAGTGACTTACTGTTCAGGTGCAAATATTGATTGAGATTTGTTGGGGCTAAAACCCAACTTTAATAATATTGAATAAGCTTTAAACAACATTTATGAAACGTTTGGTGGCTTAGACCCTAAATCCCCCCCCCTATGCTGATGATAGATCTAGATTATGCCAAGAAAACATATATACAATTTGTGATTGAATAAGTGGGTAAAAATACATTAGACCAGGGTGGTCCAACCCGCGGCCCACGAAGCTTTTTTGGCCCTCCAACAATTTTAAATCACAATAATATTATAACAAAATCGTAATAAGATGATATACAATTTATACCATCTTATTACGAATTTATACTAATTTATACAAATCTAAAATTTAAAATTTAATTGTTATACGGTGGGAATTCCCGGGTGTCGATCACATCGCAATAAGACGCGATGAACGACGTGAATGTTATTCACAATCGCACAATTGCGAGCATTAAATATTTCTCTAAACTAAATCTAAATCTAATCAGTAATCATTAACCAGTCGACCCTGTGTGTTAAAAACAATGCCAATCATCGCATAAATAGTTGTTTTTTTTATTGTTATAAGGCATTCCTAGCCTAATTAATTTTTTAGTAATTTTTTGATAATTTTAAACATGAAAACATTAAATAATAATAATAATTAATAATTTGTGAATTATATAAAATAAAATATAAATAGGTAATAATATAATTTTTTTCTTCTGACGGGCCCCGGTGTTTTTATGAAAGTGTAAATTGGCCCGCCAACTACAAAAGGTTGGACTGACCACCCTGCATTAGACGATGAG